TTTTTTTTTTGGTTTTCCGCCCAGTATCCGGGGTTTCGCCTCGACTAATTTGGACCTGACCCGCGTCACGCACCTGGAAATGGTAGGTGAGTCTCCCAGCGGAGACTGCTGCATACACAAGAACTCGAACTCAAGACTTTACTTAAGCTGGAACAAGCCGCTTACTACTTGATCCAACCCCTAGTTGGTAGAATTGAGAGGCTTTTAGTAGCCCTTTCAGGTTACTCTTCGAGACTAACTTACAGACAATAAGAATTTATCAATAAAGAAGTCAACATTTTTAGATTTAATTTCTTTATTTTCTTGTGAATTATTAGTTCATTATGATTATTTTATATTTTATAATTATATTATTTTTAATATGAACTAATTTAGTCAATTAAGATTACCATGAAGTATAACTAATTTAATATAGATTTTTAAAATTTTTATACTTTTGATATGGCTAATTTATGATGAGTGTGTATTATTATTTGTAATGCTTTTTAATGCCTAATTATCATTGAAATTGATATAAAGAGTATAATTGAAATTGAGATGAAATTTTATACAATAACTTCTAATAATATATAAGAATATTATTGGTATACCCTTTGGTTTAATACAGTTTACAACATAGTTATTAAGAAATTATTATTTTTAAATTTAAATTCATGAGGGAAAATTTTCTGAAGATAAATCTTAATGGTTGAATCGAAATGTGTTATATAATGTATTAAATTGAAAAGTATATCAATTATTGTCGTAATATATATATTATGAATATAATGAAAGTTAGAGATAGATGAATCTGATTTATGCAGTATTAATCATAAATGCACTTAAATGTTTCTATATAAGTTAAGAACTTTATAAAATACAATGTATATTTATTTATTCAAAATCTTAAATACATTACACGTAAAGTAATTGTGGCACAACTGATGATCAGTTTCAATTCAAATTCATCATCTTTGATTGAAATTCCACAGATTGAGAAGCAGTTGCATTTGAGTCAACAAGGGCCAAGTATGCTTCTGTGCAGAGTTCTTAGTTAGGACAGTGAACGAGATGGGTAGACAAAAGGCATCAATTCAGTTTCTTAGTCCCAGAAATTAGGTCCCCCAACTACCCCCTCATGCTCATTTTGAAAGGCCAATTTTAGAAACAACTGGGCTCAAGCTAGCATTAGATTTTGTAATTTTTGATTTCCTAGCCAGAAATCGAAATGAGTTGCCAAATCTTTCATTTTTCTTTCGATTCAATTACAAAAAGAAAATGACATGAAAAGAATAAATTTGTGCATCCCGAACCCTTTATATATATACATATGTATGTATATTCTTTTGCAATGTGGAATCAAAATTTTTTTAAATAATCATGAAACATTAGAGATTTCAGTTAGAAAACTATCTAATTTTTGTTGAATGAGGGTATACGACAAACGTAAATAAATATATATTATAACAAAAAAAAAACAAAAATAATGCAAAGAAAAAAAACAAGCACCCAATTATTTGAATATTACAACTCCATTCCAAACAATAGAAAAAAGCACATTGCACGTTAGAAAAAGAAACTTAAAAACACAGATAAAAAGAAAAATCCCCTCAGTGATGGAGAATTTACGAAGAAACAAATAACGCTTTGTCAAACCTTTGCCATTGCCATGTTGGGGACTGAGCACAATGCAAGTGGCAAGCGAACTTACAATATGATTTTGAACATTTGAGGAACGCATTTTTACAACGCTTGTCGCACCTGTTGCATTTAACGTAGTCAAATCCTTCCTTCACAAAGGTGAGAGGGTGTAGATGCAAATCATATGTGAAAGTCAATCCAACCTTGACATATGGGGATCTTCCCAGAACACAAGAGCGATGCACAGAATACTCACAAATTTCACAATGATAAAACCAGTGATTTGGGTCTCTTGGTTCCTCACATATCTCACAAACACATTGATCCACAGCATGATCATCATGATAAGTGAGTGCAAGAGGATGTTCATCATACTTGTACCAGGTTGTAAGCGGCAGCATAGTACACGTTTCACACAAGAAAAAGTTGCATTCCTTGCATCTATTAAAGAAACCATGTCTTTTACTTCCACAGCTATTGCATTCCTCATGTTTTTTTTTTTTTTTTTTGGGAAGCATTCCTCATGTTTAATGTAATAAAAAAGATGATGCTGGTGTCCTTGATTGGTGAAGTTGTCAGGAACTTCAAAGCATCTGATGCACATGAAGGCGACATCATCATATTGGATGTAGCTAAACCCACTACAGACAAAGCTACACCGGTAACAAAAAAAAATGGAATAATAATGAAGAGTTAGGATGGTTTTCAAGCTCCAATGTCTTGTCTTTCTTGATAACTCAGCACAAAACTTGTGGAGGGAATAATCACATTCAGTACAATAGTAAAATTCAGTGGAGATAGCTCGTATGCAACCGTCACAACATATATCATCCTTAATCTCAT